CCAAAAAAATGAATAATACTTGAATGAGATTCATACTAGGAACTGGGTGCTACAAATCTATAGTGGAAAAAAAGTTATTAGAAAAATACAACCTATTATAAACCAATGATAGTGAAAAATTCTATATATCATGTGTTTTTATAACATTAATTTTTTTTCATATGGTTGATTTAATGTCGACATTTTGATGTAGGATTGCTATGATAGTTCTACATGTAATTTTTTTGTGTATATGTTGACATATGGATGGTTGGTTTGAGGACACGTGCCAACAAACTCGATATGGTTTGGTGGAGACTTGAGGTTAACAGACCTGATATGGTCAGGTTGGAGGCCACGTGTCAACAAACCTAGATTGTTGGGTTGAGGCCACGTGCAAAAAAACCCTGGACGGTTGGGTTGAGGTTTTATTACTCTGTGTTGTAAACCAACAAACCCGATATGATTGGGTTGAGGTCAAGGACCAACTAACCCTGTATGCATGCTTGTATTGTATTTGTATTTTTTTTTGTGGTGTGGGGTATTTTGGGAATCTTGCTAAGCTTTGTATTATGGTTTGGATTTCTATGTTTCAGGTGCTTCTGATGAGCGGGGAAAAGCGAAGGCGTGATTGTACATACCATCCTGCAATTTACGTTGATTGATACTCTGATTTGATACTTGACTTATTATGAATTGTAAACAATGTTTTTGTAACTTATGGATTTATGAAATTATGTTTTAAACATGAAAATTTTACTCTGAGTTTTTGGGACGTTACAAGTTGGTATCAAATCCCTAGTTTGAGTAAACCGGATGAGCATAGTCTAGACTCAAACTAAGAATCTGCAAAAAGATTTTCAAAATTGTTTTCCAAATAACCTACAAGGAGGATGCGATGTGTACAATCAGCCAGAGCTCAAAGAAAGTTCCCTAAAATACCCACACATGTTATGTATATATGTTCATTTGTTATGTGATAGAACTGCATGCTAGAATGTTGGCTAAGGATCCTCAGGAATTGCATGGTAGAATTGGCTGATACATGATGCCTTATAGCCTAGGAGATTGCTTTGAATTGCTTATTTGTAACTGACATTGTTGCTATTAGCTAAGTATATGAATTATAATTATACATGGTTAGGATTTTGTGGCCTTAGAATTCTTTATTTAGACCTACTTTCTGTTCCTTGTTTGGTTGTGGACTTGGGGTAAAATCACTTATTCTCAGAGCGTTATGTACGATTAGCATATGCGAGATGAATGCAATGTTGGTGGAGGTTTCATGGGTCGTGAGTGGGATTTATAGAGTCATAGTGGAACTAGGAGTTGTGGTCACTCTTAGGAGTGTGTTTTAGGGTGTGTGTGCACAAAGCATAGAGGGTCAAGTGGCCCAAGGGCTTTGTGGCGACTATTCAGACAAATACGGGTAGGTGTGGAAGATAGTATGGGCCCGTACTACTGAAATCATAGGAACCATATGCATGTCATGGAAACCATAAGACCCAAGGTTTGAGATATGTGGGTTTTAGGTTGTTACTCTATTTGTGATCTGATGAATGTATGTTTATTTTTCAGCATGGTGGTCACTAGAGGTTCGAGATCCGGAGTTGGTGGTTCAGGAAATGGCAAGCCCATGAGGTTTATTGTGCTTGATGATGAGATTTGTGAGTTGATTACTGTTGAGGTGGATAAAACTGTACGAGGTGCTATCCTGAAGATATTTGAGTTGGTGAAGACCACTATGATTAAGCTATTTGACGAGCGCTACACTACTGTTACACAAGATGCCACTACTGTAGCTATTGCAGCCATCGCTGCCGTTAAGGAAAGAGTAGGAGGATCTTTCCAGTATCGGGACTTCAGTAACACTAAACCCCCATAGTTTGATAGGGTTAAGGGCCCAATTATGGCGATGAGATGGTTGTCTGAAGTGGAGGGTTTTTTTTTCACGTGTTCTTGTCTGGAGGACCAGAAGGTTAGTTGCGCCCTGAAACTTCTACGCTTGGGGTCGAAGGACTGGTGGAAGCTTGTAACCGGTTCTTATTCACCTGAGGAGATAGCTGCAGTGACTTGGGGATAATTTATTGATATGTTCCGTGCAAAGTGTGTGCCATTGGTGGAGAGAGACCGTTTTCCCCAGGAGTATCTGTCACTCAAACAGACAACGAAGTCGGTGACAGAGATCACCAGGATGCTCACTGAGATGACTCTTTTTTTCCCTGAGTATGCCTCTTCCGCGCAGGTTCAAATGTCACGATATCTAAGCATGCTCAAGAATAGGATATCAGAGTTGGTGTCTACACAACAGTACCAGACTCTCTTGGAGCTTGAGTCTGCCGCTTGTAGGAGAGGGATTGAGATCGAGACTCAGGCCAAGGAGCAGCACCAAGCTCTAGTTGAGTTGCAGCCATCGAAGAAGCGGTTCAAACCCGTTGATTCATATTCTGGAGGACAGAGGGGCCATACATGTGGTAGGTGTGAGAAAACACATGGAGGAGCTTGTTGATCAGCGATAAGATTCCCCAACTGTGGCAGACATGGCCATTTCGTGAGGGATTTCCTATAGCCGCAACAACAGACCCCCTCGACGGGTATACACATTTATTACCATTGCGATCAGGTGGGCCGTGTGAAGGCCCAACACCCTATACTTGATGCTAGGCATATACAGACATCAACCCTGACTACTCTTCGTATCACAAATGTGATAGTATTTAGGTAAATATAAAAATAAACTTAAAACCCTTAGGTTTGCATGCAACCTAAATAATATCTATGTTTGCTCTATTGAACCTATAACTATGGACATCAAATAAGAAACCCTAAGAACCCTTGTTAATTTTCAAAAAACACAAATTAGGGTTTAGTATTACATACCTTAATTGTTATTGTAGTAAATAACAATGTTCTTGTAGATCTCTTGGAAGCAACCACAAGTGTCGTGCCTCTAATGGTTCACACCCAAGCTAGCAAGAGGATGACTCAAGAGGGAGGATAAGGGAGAGTAAAAATTTTCATCCAAGCCTTAGTGAAGAAAGGAGTTGTCAAAATATAGGGCTAGGGATGGCCTTATTATATAGTTGAGGAATCTTGTCGACAAAGCTAGGGTTTAATGGATAAGCCTTAGATTGATTTACTTGGTGACGAAGTATCCCAATCTCCTTATCTAAGGAGCTTTGGACAAAATCTTCTAGGCTTGCCCTAGAGGATTTTCGTCCATCTCATCCCATGAGGTTCTAGATCCTTATTTCTTCAACTTTCAATAAATAACCAAACATTCTATGTGCTTTTATTTAATCCAATTAATCCCAAAATTAATTCCAATTAATTTCTAATTAATTATTAATTAAATAATAACTTTCTAATTAATATATTATTTTAATAATATATTAATAAACTTCTTAGTTTAATTTATTAATGAAATAATAAATTAACCTCTCTCTCTAAAAGTCATCTTGTCTAATTGATAGGTTTGAGGGTAACCCAAAAGGACCGTGCTACCATCAATTTAAGTATATACCAATTACAATTATGGTCTTAGACACCTAATCCAATGGTTTCCCACTTGGATAATTCTATAACTATAGCTGCTAGTATAACTTCTAAATCGATCAACAAATTGTAGCTTCCAAAAGTTGTTGCCGAACTCTGACCCAGTCAGTTACTCGTCCTAAGATAAGTGATCGTATAATCCTCCGTTCCGCTAGACATCATTCGGACATGAGACATGAAATAGAATCAATCTCATTTTCCAAGACTTTGTTTCCCAATTTATGATTTGTTATGGCATAGAACTTCAAATTGAACACATCAATTTAGTCATCGTCGGGCTCGACACTATTAGTCAACATCAAATCAACGAGGGGCCCAAAGATATCGCTTTTACCGTTAGGGAAAAAGGAAAGAATAAAATTTGATTCATATGATTGCATCTTTTATTCATCAAATCATGCATGACAATACATTTTATTGCATCAAGTTACTAATGCGTTTACATATTACCAATGTACAACTGAGTTTGTAAATTATAACTCATATATCTCTGTTTCAAGATCAAAAGATATTATTATCTCATAATTACTCGTGATAAATTCCATGAAGAAATTCCCTAAGGGTGGGTTTATCTAATACTTAAATCTCCATTTCTAAGTACTCATAAACATTGTAATAATTTTATTACTATGTCTAACTCCCTTAGACAATCTACAATCCAATTCACGATAGTTTTAATTTACTACTTACTTCCAAAAGTACGACCGAATGTGGAATTTGAATATTCATATTATTTGGGAAGTAAACATGGAAAGTGAAACACAATAATAAACTAATTAACCATGGTCTCAAAACGATTGAATATAAATAAAACTCTTATTATTTAATCACCATAATAATTAAAACTTTATTCATTGTATAATATTTTGAGTAATCAACTAACCACTTGAAGTAAGCATTAGTCATGTCATGTTATGAACATGCATACTATGTCTCTCTACGGTCATTCGTTTGTGAACAAATCAATTAGACATTATCCCAATGATGCTCATTTCACAATTCCAAATTCTTGTCACTACTAAAATGTATTGGAATGCCAACCTTACATGCATTGACCTACTGTGATGTCGAGGCTTCAAAGTCATAGAGACCGAGCCAATGATATTACAGAATGTTCCATTGGATCTTTGTTACTAGAAACAATTCCATGATAATGAAGGTTCAAATTCAAGGTACACTCCTTGAGAAAGTCTCTTGCATTAAAGTTTCCAACTCACATGTAGATTTAATAATCAACTCCCATTATGAGTTTTTTTTCCATATTCCCATATGACCATCAATTCTGATCAAGAATCGTCTCAATCCAGAATCATGTCACTATGGTCTGTCCAAATTAATATCATACTTCCAACTGTCCACAAGCAACCAATCTTCAGTTAACCTTAGAATGTTCTTGGTAGTTGCGGCTCGGCGGGGAAGGAATGGGAAATCGTCAAAGATGACTTCTTGGTTGTCGAAACGAAGGGCTAAATAGCACCAGTGATTCTCTGAGCCAATATGGATTTCCAACGCCTCGGGAAACTGGTCGAGATAGATGGCAACGCCTTTTTCCCCTCTTCCTTACCGGGAGGGCAATCTTCTCTTATGGCCTTCACTTCCCGCCCGGCCCGGAAATAGAGAATCCAACCCCCTTCTGATCCATTCATTTCTGCAGGCAGGGAGGATCCAGAGCTAAGCCTTTAACAACTTTAATCACACAAAATAATTCTAATCCTTTCCGTCTCTATGCTCAAGGCATTTGAAAAATAGGAAAAAGTGAATATTATAGCATATGTGATCAATCCTATATCTGAAGCATATAGGACTCGATTTATTATGTCTCACATAAGGGTTTGATATTTTTTCAGTCTCTGCTATAATATTTTCATCTACTAAATTTCCTATGTTGAGTCATTTCAACAAGATATTCATACATGTATATGACTAAGTTCTATTAAACTATGCAATGTAAACCTTTAGGTTTGAAAAGAAGTATGAGTACCTTCTCCCTTAAGTATATTATAGTGAGACCATTCCCAAACTTTTCAATTCACAAATTGAAAAACTTTGTTCCCTACGAACAGTATTGTCAACATGCAATACTAACATAAAAATTATGCTCCCACTAGCTTTGACATGTACCAAGAAATCAATTAGATTTCTAGAAATCAATACTCTTGAATTTCTTAGTGAATTATAGATTTCTGTTACGTGATGCATCGATAAGTCTCCAACTAGACTTCTTGAGTTTATACACCTTCATTAGATAGCATATGCGTATGTCTAAACCCATTCATAGCTTATAATTATAAGTTTTTGAAAGTTCAAACAATTCATTGCCGTAATCATATTGTGAATTTGAGAATGAAAATAATACAAGAAATATCCATATTGATATTTATCAAACCCTTTAACATCTACTAGAAAAAGTGTTTCCTCGTAATCATTCTCATGAATTAGAGTGAAAACTTTGCCACCTAGATTTTATGATGTATACGTTCCCATCGATATGAATCTATAATTTCCAACCTACAATAATAAGACAAGGTTTAGGACAAAACCAAATTCAAATTTATCTTTCCTTCATGGACTAAACCCCCATAGTTTGATAGGGTTAAGGGCCCAATTATGGCGATGAGATGGTTGTCTGAAGTGGAGGGTTTTTTTTTCACGTGTTCTTGTCTGGAGGACCAGAAGGTTAGTTGCGCCCTGAAACTTCTACGCTTGGGGTCGAAGGACTGGTGGAAGCTTGTAACCGGTTCTTATTCACCTGAGGAGATAGCTGCAGTGACTTGGGGATAATTTATTGATATGTTCCGTGCAAAGTGTGTGCCATTGGTGGAGAGAGACCGTTTTCCCCAGGAGTATCTGTCACTCAAACAGACAACGAAGTCGGTGACAGAGATCACCAGGATGCTCACTGAGATGACTCTTTTTTTCCCTGAGTATGCTTCTTCCGCGCAGGTTCAAATGTCACGATATCTAAGCATGCTCAAGAATAGGATATCAGAGTTGGTGTCTACACAACAGTACCAGACTCTCTTGGAGCTTGAGTCTGCCGCTTGTAGGAGAGGGATTGAGATCGAGACTCAGGCCAAGGAGCAGCACCAAGCTCTAGTTGAGTTGCAGCCATCGAAGAAGCGGTTCAAACCCGTTGATTCATATTCTGGAGGACAGAGGGGCCATACATGTGGTAGGTGTGAGAAAACACATGGAGGAGCTTGTTGATCAGCGATAAGATTCCCCAACTGTGGCAGACATGGCCATTTCGTGAGGGATTTCCTATAGCCGCAACAACAGACCCCCTCGACGGGTATACACATTTATTACCATTGCGATCAGGTGGGCCGTGTGAAGGCCCAACACCCTATACTTGATGCTAGGCATATACAGACATCAACCCTGACTACTCTTCGTATCACAAATGTGATAGTATTTAGGTAAATATAAAAATAAACTTAAAACCCTTAGGTTTGCATGCAACCTAAATAATATCTATGTTTGCTCTATTGAACCTATAACTATGGACATCAAATAAGAAACCCTAAGAACCCTTGTTAATTTTCAAAAAACACAAATTAGGGTTTAGTATTACATACCTTAATTGTTATTGTAGTAAATAACAATGTTCTTGTAGATCTCTTGGAAGCAACCACAAGTGTCGTGCCTCTAATGGTTCACACCCAAGCTAGCAAGAGGATGACTCAAGAGGGAGGATAAGGGAGAGTAAAAATTTTCATCCAAGCCTTAGTGAAGAAAGGAGTTGTCAAAATATAGGGCTAGGGATGGCCTTATTATATAGTTGAGGAATCTTGTCGACAAAGCTAGGGTTTAATGGATAAGCCTTAGATTGATTTACTTGGTGACGAAGTATCCCAATCTCCTTATCTAAGGAGCTTTGGACAAAATCTTCTAGGCTTGCCCTAGAGGATTTTCGTCCATCTCATCCCATGAGGTTCTAGATCCTTATTTCTTCAACTTTCAATAAATAACCAAACATTCTATGTGCTTTTATTTAATCCAATTAATCCCAAAATTAATTCCAATTAATTTCTAATTAATTATTAATTAAATAATAACTTTCTAATTAATATATTATTTTAATAATATATTAATAAACTTCTTAGTTTAATTTATTAATGAAATAATAAATTAACCTCTCTCTCTCTAAAAGTCATCTTGTCTAATTGATAGGTTTGAGGGTAACCCAAAAGGACCGTGCTACCATCAATTTAAGTATATACCAATTACAATTATGGTCTTAGACACCTAATCCAATGGTTTCCCACTTGGATAATTCTATAACTATAGCTGCTAGTATAACTTCTGAATCGATCAACAAATTGTAGCTTCCAAAAGTTGTTGCCGAACTCTGACCCAGTCAGTTACTCGTCCTAAGATAAGTGATCGTATAATCCTCCGTTCCGCTAGACATCATTCGGACATGAGACATGAAATAGAATCAATCTCATTTTCCAAGACTTTGTTTCCCAATTTATGATTTGTTATGGCATAGAACTTCAAATTGAACACATCAATTTAGTCATCGTCGGGCTCGACACTATTAGTCAACATCAAATCAACGAGGGGCCCAAAGATATCGCTTTTACCGTTAGGGAAAAAGGAAAGAATAAAATTTGATTCATATGATTGCATCTTTTATTCATCAAATCATGCATGACAATACATTTTATTGCATCAAGTTACTAATGCGTTTACATATTACCAATGTACAACTGAGTTTGTAAATTATAACTCATATATCTCTGTTTCAAGATCAAAAGATATTATTGTCTCATAATTACTCGTGATAAATTCCATGAAGAAATTCCCTAAGGGTGGGTTTATCTAATACTTAAATCTCCATTTCTAAGTACTCATAAACATTGTAATAATTTTATTACTATGTCTAACTCCCTTAGACAATCTACAATCCAATTCACGATAGTTTTAATTTACTACTTACTTCCAAAAGTACGACCGAATGTGGAATTTGAATATTCATATTATTTGGGAAGTAAACATGGAAAGTGAAACACAATAATAAACTAATTAACCATGGTCTCAAAACGATTGAATATAAATAAAACTCTTATTATTTAATCACCATAATAATTAAAACTTTATTCATTGTATAATATTTTGAGTAATCAACTAACCACTTGAAGTAAGCATTAGTCATGTCATGTTATGAACATGCATACTATGTCTCTCTACGGTCATTCGTTTGTGAACAAATCAATTAGACATTATCCCAATGATGCTCATTTCACAATTCCAAATTCTTGTCACTACTAAAATGTATTGGAATGCCAACCTTACATGCATTGACCTACTGTGATGTCGAGGCTTCAAAGTCATAGAGACCGAGCCAATGATATTACAGAATGTTCCATTGGATCTTTGTTACTAGAAACAATTCCATGATAATGAAGGTTCAAATTCAAGGTACACTCCTTGAGAAAGTCTCTTGCATTAAAGTTTCCAACTCACATGTAGATTTAATAATCAACTCCCATTATGAGTTTTTTTTCCATATTCCCATATGACCATCAATTCTGATCAAGAATCGTCTCAATCCAGAATCATGTCACTATGGTCTGTCCAAATTAATATCATACTTCCAACTGTCCACAAGCAACCAATCTTCAGTTAACCTTAGAATGTTCTTGGTAGTTGCGGCTCGGCGGGGAAGGAATGGGAAATCGTCAAAGATGACTTCTTGGTTGTCGAAACGAAGGGCTAAATAGCACCAGTGATTCTCTGAGCCAATATGGATTTCCAACGCCTCGGGAAACTGGTCGAGATAGATGGCAACGCCTTTTTCCCCTCTTCCTTACCGGGAGGGCAATCTTCTCTTATGGCCTTCACTTCCCGCCCGGCCCGGAAATAGAGAATCCAACCCCCTTCTGATCCATTCATTTCTGCAGGCAGGGAGGATCCAGAGCTAAGCCTTTAACAACTTTAATCACACAAAATAATTCTAATCCTTTCCGTCTTTATGCTCAAGGCATTTGAAAAAATAGGAAAAAGTGAATATTATAGCATATGTGATCAATCCTATATCTGAAGCATATAGGACTCGATTTATTATGTCTCACATAAGGGTTTGATATTTTTTCAGTCTCTGCTATAATATTTTCATCTACTAAATTTCCTATGTTGAGTCATTTCAACAAGATATTCATACATGTATATGACTAAGTTCTATTAAACTATGCAATGTAAACCTTTAGGTTTGAAAAGAAGTATGAGTACCTTCTCCCTTAAGTATATTATAGTGAGACCATTCCCAAACTTTTCAATTCACAAATTGAAAAACTTTGTTCCCTACGAACAGTATTGTCAACATGCAATACTAACATAAAAATTATGCTCCCACTAGCTTTGACATGTACCAAGAAATCAATTAGATTTCTAGAAATCAATACTCTTGAATTTCTTAGTGAATTATAGATTTCTGTTACGTGATGCATCGATAAGTCTCCAACTAGACTTCTTGAGTTTATACACCTTCATTAGATAGCATATGCGTATGTCTAAACCCATTCATAGCTTATAATTATAAGTTTTTGAAAGTTCAAACAATTCATTGCCGTAATCATATTGTGAATTTGAGAATGAAAATAATACAAGAAATATCCATATTGATATTTATCAAACCCTTTAACATCTACTAGAAAAAGTGTTTCCTCGTAATCATTCTCATGAATTAGAGTGAAAACTTTGCCACCTAGATTTTATGATGTATACGTTCCCATCGATATGAATCTATAATTTCCAACCTACAATAATAAGACAAGGTTTAGGACAAAACCAAATTCAAATTTATCTTTCCTTCATGGACTAAACCCCCATAGTTTGATAGGGTTAAGGGCCCAATTATGGCGATGAGATGGTTGTCTGAAGTGGAGGGTTTTTTTTTCACGTGTTCTTGTCTGGAGGACCAGAAGGTTAGTTGCGCCCTGAAACTTCTACGCTTGGGGTCGAAGGACTGGTGGAAGCTTGTAACCGGTTCTTATTCACCTGAGGAGATAGCTGCAGTGACTTGGGGATAATTTATTGATATGTTCCGTGCAAAGTGTGTGCCATTGGTGGAGAGAGACCGTTTTCCCCAGGAGTATCTGTCACTCAAACAGACAACGAAGTCGGTGACAGAGATCACCAGGATGCTCACTGAGATGACTCTTTTTTTCCCTGAGTATGCTTCTTCCGCGCAGGTTCAAATGTCACGATATCTAAGCATGCTCAAGAATAGGATATCAGAGTTGGTGTCTACACAACAGTACCAGACTCTCTTGGAGCTTGAGTCTGCCGCTTGTAGGAGAGGGATTGAGATCGAGACTCAGGCCAAGGAGCAGCTGTAACGCCCGGGTTTTCAGGGCTACGCATTTTTGTCAATGTAATAGTCTAGGTCAACTATTGTAACTCTTTTTGAAGTAATAAATATGAAATATTTGAGTATTATGTGAATTATGTGTGTTTATGTGTTTATTATTTAATTATAAATGTATAATTAATAAAGAATAAAAATGAGCGTCAAAAATTAAAGTGTGAGATAATCCCGATATCTCTACATAAAGTTGTAGAATATGTCTCAAGGTTTCCGTACATATAAAGAATGCCGAAATCCGAGCTATAACGAAGAAGTTATGGCCCGCCGAAGTTTTACGGCAAAACCGGCACGACACCGGGAGACGTAAATAGTGAATTTACGATAGAAGACTTTTTAGCCTTAGCAATCCCAAACAAAAGTCGTAGAATATGTTAAACTAAGAACATCGATAAAAAGAACGCCCAAATCTGACTTCGTATGAAGAAGTTATGATTTTTCTAAGATTCGGCTTAGCAGTGCACGGCCTGAAACTCGAATTTTAGTTCGAGCGGTTTTTGGCTTACGCAACGTAAATGAGAGTTGAAGATCTCATTAATAGGAAATCAACGGTAAAAATACAGACAAAAACAGAGTCCGTATGTAGAAGTTATTAATTTTACGCAGACGTTTAACAGTATAATCTCCTTGTACTGTTAAATTTAAGATCGGTCGAGAATTAGCTGACGGTGTCAAAATGAAAGTTGTAGATCTTATTATTACCTACGCGTGGATATAAAGAACGTCAAAAACGGAGGTCGTATGTGAAAGTTACGGATTTTAGAAGTCGGAAGTGTGCTGTGCGAAAATGGGTGATGTGGCACAATCTTGGCCATTGCTTTCTCCCCAAGGCTTGCCACCAGATGGTGACATGTGGCACCAAGTTCAGCCACATTTCACCCTATAAATACCACCTCTCCCACCCTCATTTTCTTCACACCTTTCCCATTCTTTCTTCTCTTTACTCTCTCTCTCTCTCTAGAACCTCTCTTTAGCCCCGAAATCCCCCGAAAAGCCTAGGGAACCTCCCTAGCACGAGGCGGAAGCCCCGGAGTGCTCGAAGGCTCCGAGAAGAAGAGCTTTTCGGCTCGGGAACGCTGCTCCAAGCAAAGCCCGGTTTTCTATAAAACCCGCTGTAAGTGAGCTACGCCTACGCTATTTTTAATATAACTTTTATTTAATTATAGTAACGTTATTAGGAACTTATAATAAATACTTGGGCTATTATTATGGGTTATATAAGTATTTTTTGACGCTTATATAATAATAATAATAGCTAGACTATTAATTAGTCTCGACGAATAATAAACTAAACTCTAGTGGTAATAATACTAGGTTTCGTCGAAGAAAAAAATTCTTTTTAAGAAGCGAAGCGCTGTCTGAGTTCGGAATCACCACCTTTTCCAGTGAGTGCATGGTCCCTTTCATCTTACACATAGATATGAAGTATTTTATATAAATTACGTGCTATGTGTGCATATTATCTGAATACTTGCTATCTATGCTAGATGAACGTTGTTATACATGTTTTCAATGATTTAAACTGTATATGTATTTTATATCTACGAAAATGTTGGGGTAAAACATGGGTAGATGTAATAGGTGATGTGTGATAAAATGATGAGAGGCCTCGATGTTGTTGTTGTTGATCCAGTCATCTAGCGGAGTATAGATGACGACCACGGACTCTTCTAGACAGTCCAGTGGAACACTAGCAGGCTCGCAACCTGTAGGTGTTGTGAACGATGTGTTCACCGGTGTACTCCATCCCCCACATGGTTGCCTATTAGGACATTTATTGCTGAGGAATCCCCTTAGAAGTAGTGTCCGTCCCGATGATAATCCTTAGGCTAGGTCCCTTATGATAGGTGTTTAGGGACGTAAAGTGAGGATAACGGGAACGGGTAATCGGGTTATTGTTGATTGATGAAATTAATAAACTTATTTATTGTGGGTTGAAAACCCTATGTGCTCACCAGGCTCCCAAGCCTGACCCACTCAGTTTTATGTATTACAGGTAGTGGCGCATGAGCATAGGTGTGATGTTTTGGACGAGGGATTACGGATATAGACCTGTAGATATGAAATAATGTAGTAAGGCTTATATTGTACTGTTTATACTTTTGATTTGTACGAAAATGCTTTTATGTGCTAAATGTTTTATGCATGATATGCTGTTATTTTGTTCGGGGATCTATGGTCTGTTGCCGACCGGATCTGGAACCTTATGTGTTTAGGATTCTAAACGTACGACTACGATATTAGAACTAGCATGTAAACGTTTCGGAGTGATAAGGATGATTTAAAACGTCTCTCCTAAATAAAGACCTAAATCCACCTTATTCGGTATATAGATCAAGATGGTAAGGACCCGTAGCGGAAACGTAAACGCAAATGGGAACGGACACCAACCCCCCCCGTGATCGAGCAAATACCAGTTGTGGAAGCCGCTGCCGGACCAATAACGATGGCCGGAGTGCAAGCGATGATCCAGGCAATGTTGGATCGTCAAATGGAGGAAACCAGGCGTTTGCTCCAGCAAAATCGAGAGGAAGCGACTATTCATCTCGAACAGCCTGAGTTGAACGAAGGTCAGACTGAAGAAGGAAACTACAGTGGGACTATTGGTCAAGCCAACCCACCGATAGTTAGGCAAAACCACCAGGATGGAGGAAATGATGGACGTGGATGCAAATACAAGGATTTCATGGCATCCAAGCCACCGAGTCTATCCGGAAGCCCGACGCCGGTGGAAGTCATGAACTGGATCTCTGAGATGGAGACAATGTTTGAGAGTTGCGAGTGTAGCAATAGGCAGAAGACTGCTCTTGCAGTTCCTCTATTGAAATCTGGAGTACTAAGCTGGTGGAAGCTATTAGTTGATTCAATGCCCAAAGGTGAAGCAAGCAAAATGTCGTGGGAGGATTTTCTGGTACAGTTGAAGATGCAATACTGTTCTGAGCAGGATCTTCTGGAGATCAGCAACGAATTCCAGAATCTGAAGAAGGGAAGAATGAGCGTTACTGAATATGCTGCAAGCTTTACTGAGAAAATGAAGCTTGTTCCTCACCTCGTCCCAACTGAACTCTCCAAGGTTAACAAATTTGCCCTCGGATTACCAGCGGACTTCGGTCCAATGGTCAAGCAAACTACCACTCTAAAAGCTGCCATCTGGGCTGCTAAGAATGTGGAGACCCAGATACGAGAAAAGGGTCTGGAGAGAGCGGAAGTGGGAGAGAAACGGAAATTTGACGGATCCTCGAGGTCCGGTAAGAAAGGAAGATTCTCGAAGTCTGGTTCGAGAGGAGGAGGATCAGAAGCAAAGTGGTGTGACAAGTGCAAGAAGAAGCACTTTGGGAAGTGTGATGGAGGAGTCACTTGTTACAAATGCGGAAAGCCTGGGCACTATGCCAACGAATGCACCCTCAACCAGAAGGCCTGTTATGGGTGTTATGAAGAAGGGCACATTTTGAAGGACTGCCCGAAGAAGAAGGAGGCAGGAAGACCCAACATACCACCAAAGCCGAAGGCGAGAGCCTTCCAGATGACG